GGTTTGTCAAGTAAGCGAACGAAAAATTATTTTCAGATTCTTCAGTCCTAACTAGCTACACTCCTGCATCTTCAGTATTGAAGGGTCTTCCTGCAATAGAGTTGCAGCCACCTCTAGCATGTTTTAATCTTGTGTTTGTAGGTAAGGTCTAGGCTAGGGCTGGGCAGTAATTTGTAATGGGGGGGCACTCTAAAAATTTGGTAAGGAGTCATGGGCTACACTCTTCCATGGTATTAATGGAGGAAGTGCGGGGTCTTGGGTGCAGAAGGGAGTTTGGGATGCAGGAGGGGGTTTGGAATCTGGGAGGGACTGTGACCTGTTGCAGAGGACTGGGTGCAGGAGGGCATGCAGAGGGTTTGGGTTATGTGGGGTAGGAGTGCAGAAGGAGGGCAGGGGGTGGATGGGAGGGGCCTGTGACCTGGGGCAGGCATGCAGGAGGGGGTGCATGGGATTGGGGTGCAAGGTCTGGGAGGGGTACAAGTGCGAGAGCAGGGGTGCAGAGAGTTTGGGTTATGAGGGGCACAGGTGCAGGAGGGGGCAGAGGGTTGGAGGAAGAGAGGGGTTGAGGTGCCAGAGGCAAGCACTGGCTGGGAGATGCTTACATCAGCAACTCCCAGCCAGCAGCCCATCAGGTTCCTCAACCAGGCCCCCTTGCCTTCTGGGCCCCTGCACCCTGCTAGGCTAGGGATGTAATAGTGTAATTGATTAACCAATAAGCAAAAGCTTATCAATCAATGCTATAGACTACATGCATTTCCCCTTCCCCTCACCTGCCAGTAATTTTTTTAGCAGGCTGGCCAGCAGCTTCTGTCAGTGCTGGCTTGTGAAGGGTCTGAGACCTACCCCTGCTGCGACTCTGCATTTAAAGTGTATTAGGAGCCAGGCGGGCAGGCAGCCCTGCTCTGTTCTGGTTCACACCGGGTCCGGGAGCTCAAATCCCTTCCACCTGCCTCTATATCGGAGGCAGCAGCACAGGGCGACAGACAGCGAGTCTGCGAGGGGAGCTGGGTTTTAAACTGGCTCCTCTTGTGGACCAGCTCCCGTCTGGCTCCCCATATTGTTGCCTCTGATACAGAGGCAGCAGTGCAGATTGACGGAGCTCCTCAGGAGTGGGGTCGGAGCACACTGGCTGCCGGCCCCACCCCCGGGGACTATAGAATAGTCGAATAACTTATAAGAATTCATGAGGTTAATCAATTCACTGACATTTAACATCCCTAGTCTAGGCTGTGTTTTCAATGGAATTACAAACCTATGCTACATGGCCTGTGTTGGGAATGCAGTCTGGTCTTATCTACGCTGCAAGATAACACCCAGAGTATGTAGCTAGGTCCCTATTGTGGCCATCTTGTTTTCAACTATAAATGTTCAGAATCTGTGACTCTGAAGTCTGAGCTTACATTTGGCTATGCCAGGCCTGGGCAAAATACGGCCCGCCAAGCCACCAGATCCGGCCTGCGGAGGCAGCAGGGAGCCCCAGGCAGGCTCCCCAGCTTGCCCCGCAGCTCTGTGCACTGTGCAAAAACAGGGCTGCAGGGCTCTGTTTCTGTTTTAAAACTGGAGGGGAAGGGGGAAGTTTTAGGAGATGCCCCACTCTCAGCACAATCCCATTAGCTGGTTTCTGGCCAGAAACAAGCCAATGGGAGCTGGTTGT